GGGGAATGTTGGAGTCACTGAAGCAAACAAGCCTCATTCATGTTTGCTTTAAGCTGCCTGGCTGCCAGCCGCCATCTTGGCAGGCAGTTAATTTACATATCTCTCTGATTAGCCAATGGGAAGGGTAGCAGCTGTACGCCAGTTACCATGTTTCTCTTTTATTAGATAGGATACATCTAAAATCTTAGTCAGTTTCAATCCTCTGTTTATGTTTTCTGGAGAATTAGTGAAAGCCTTCTTCCTTGGTGTTCCTCTTTCTGTCCCTCCTAGAATCGGATGTTTCCTGATACAGGGAGTGAAGACCTTGATGGGGGAAGGTCTGGTGCTCTAGTCCTGGCATGACGATGAATTAGTGGCACAACACATCTCTCTTATTTCCACATTTGGGAAGCACAGAGATTGTGCTAGGTGATCTCTGGAGTCCTTCCTACTTCTGTGATTTCTTGTCTTCTAGAAGTATTTTCTCTGCTCCATCTCTCCACTAAACCGAGCATGGAGCATGAGTGAGCAGGAGATGGTTAAAATGTTTTCCAGTGTATTCTTTAGTATCGCCCCCCACCAGACAGAATGTACTCCCCTGGATAAGGCTAATGGGAGGTTGGCCTTTAATTAAAACAAGTCATTTGTCTTATAATATTCTACGGGATTGGATGAGTTTGCTCCCTCCATGCTCCTGGACGATAACTCAGGTGGAAGATTATAGCTATTTTCTTACTAAAGCCTTTGCACAAATCCCTTCTGTGATTAAAAAATAGATATAAAATAATATACATGAAAGTAATGTGGGTATACAGCAAGTTACCAACATGAAACACTTCCCATTTAAACCTCATTTTAGGCGAAAAGTACAGCTAAGAATCAACTTCCCATGCCTAGATCCCCACCGCACTTTTACTGCTTAGAAGCCATCCCAACTTGGCTGTGACTCTCCTGCTCTGAAAATAATCCTCTGAACTCTGCTGCCTCCACCTGGCAACGTTGGTCTAGACCAGCGGTTCTCAACCTGTGGGTCGCGACCCCTTTGGGGGTCAAATGACCCTTTCACAGGGGTCACCTAAGACCATCAGAAAACACATATATAATTACATATCATTTTTGTGATGAATCACTATGCTTTAATTATGTTCAATTTGTAACAATGGAAATATATCCTGCATATCAGATATTTACATTACGATTCATAACAATAGCAAAATTACAGTTATGAAGTAGCAACGAAAATAATTTTATGGTTGGGGGTCACCACAACATGAAGAACTGTATTAAAGGGTCATGGCATTAGGAAGGTTGAGAACCACTGGTCTAGACCTTGTCCTGTTAGTTTAGAACAGCAATTTTCAACATTTTTCATTTTACTGCACATATAAATTAATCACTAAAACTCTGCAGCACACTAAAAATATATATTTATTTGCCAATCTGAAAAAAAAGAGGTATAATTTTAATTCAGTCACACTGGACAGCTATTGTTGTGTTGGCTATTGTCATTTTTTTTAATTTGACAATCTAAGGCAAAGAAATCAGTGCCCCTGACTAAATAGTCAGGAATTAAATGATTTAAAAATTCTTGTTGTACACCAGTTGAAAATCACTGGTTTAAAAGACCCATGTTTCCGAGAATGGACTAATCTTGGGTAAACAATTGAGTCAGTTCTTGCCCGCAGGGCTATGGAATCTTTGGCTTTTCATTGCTGTTCCTTTGAGTGACAGATTGGGTTTACGGTAGTCATGACATAACTCAGGAGAAATGGGAACTACAAGTATATCATCTTCTTTAAAAACCTCTATCTACAACATGGTGTAAAGTATCTAATTTGGAATCAAAATGGCCTGTGTCAACTCTAAGTTCCATCACTGATTAGCTGGATGACTTAGAGCAGTTGATTTAATCTCACTGACCTTCAATTTCTTTATTTACAAAATAAAGATGATAAAAGTTTGCAGTTTTAGAGAATTATAAGACATAAATTTAATGTTTTATACCTGGGAAGTTCCAGGTAATGGCAATCATTATTACCTTTATAATCAATAATGGTTTGATTTTGAAAATTGTAGGTACTTTATTTGCATAACATCAATATGCTAATGATCAAGTGACATAACCGTGTGTTAATCCATATGCATGCTCTCTACTCTCTAGAAAGCAAAAAATACTAAATCTTATGGAAATTTATTTTAAGATTAACAGAAACAAAAAAGAATTGTGATATCATATTGGAATATTCTCATTTCTCTGGGTTTCTCATATGATGAAAGGAGTGACTTTAGGGTTGTTGAATTTCTTCCAAGTTGTACATCTTCTTGATTTATATTTATATAGAGACAACTTGTAAATGCAGAGTGTGGTGGCTGTCATGTCACTGCCCACTCTCACTAGCAGAGACAAATATTGCTTTTGAGTCTGATTCTTAGAACCTGGTTGATGGCTGGAGTGAAATTGATGTGTACGGCCTCAAGTTGAATACTGTTCATCTCATGTATTTTCCTGCCACTGAGCCTTCTCTACAATTACACTAGTTATTCCCTATTAAAGCTCGACTCAGTACCAGGCAATTGCTCTGCACCAAGAAAGTTGAAAGTATTATCAGATATTGCAATCAGTGCACAGGAAGGGAGGTTTCCATTTAACTTCAATGCAACCTCCCTTTTTGTCTGTGAACATTAGAAGAGGGCTTCTAACAAAATGGTCAAATTTGTGATCTCATTTGTTATAACTAGAACTATCTTCCCAAATGTGAGGCCTGATTTCCAGCAGCTGAAGGGAAGTCTATTGGATTAACTCCAGTCTTTTGATTGATTTGCTCTGGGTTCTATCAGTATGCAACACAGATGTAATGGTAGAAAATATAGAGTGTGTATCTTGGCTGATGACAAACTGGTTCTCTTCCAGAGAGCAAGATATTGTCAAGACTTGAGGCACCAGCTCATCATTCCAGAAACTTTAAACTTCTTCCACAATGTGAATATACTTCTGCTCTCATTTAAATTTTTTTAAAAAAATTGCTTATCACTCCATAGTACCAATAATCAAGTAACCACCCGTGGACTTTTCTCATGTACGGCTTATCATCTTCTGTGATCAAGCATAACTTCTGGCTTCATAACTTTCTCATTAGTGAATGTCTATTCAAAAAATGTTCACTAATTTTACAATAACCCAAAGAAATCATAAATAGGAAGGTAAATTAGATTCTGAGAAAAAAATAACATAATAATACATCTCCAAATAAAATGGAATTGGCTTTTTGGTTAGACCTTCCTTTATTTTATAACATAGCAAGGGTTTTTTTTTTTTTAAAAAAAAAACATCTTTATTGATTTTTAGAAAGAGAGGAAGGGAGAGGCAGAAAGAGGAACATTAATGAGAGACCAGAACATTGATCAGCTGTCTCCTGCATACCCCCTACCTGGGATCGAGCCCACAACCTGGGCATGTGCTTTGATCATGAATCAAACCAGCAATCTTTTGTTGCATGGGACAATGCCCAACCAACTGAGCCACACCAGCCAGGGCAGCAAGGTTTTAATGAAAGTTGATTGAAGTTAGTTAATTCTAATGATCCTCTCTATTAATTATTGTGTAGGTCCAGGTACGCTTTGCTATCATTAGTGGATACTTGGGAAAAATGAGACAAGGAGAGCAAAGTTGACTTAACATCCTGATAAGGGACAGGGGAAAGTTGAGACTCTTCCTTGAAGCCAGGCCCCCTGACTTCCACCCTTTTCACAAAGCTGCCTACCTCAATGTTATTTTTAATATTCTCCTTAGTAAGCAACATAGATTTATAATTTGGGGGGAGGGTGTATGTATTTAGACTTACTTCAAATCATCAGTTCAGTGTTAATCTTATAAAGTTATTTAAATCATTAGTTAGTTCATTATTAAAGTCCTAACTGGAATTGATCCAGCACTACAAATGAGAAAAATAAGAACAAAGTGATTTACAAGTAGGCAGTTAGCCAGATGTCTGCAGAGCACCTCAGGCAGCTTGACTACAAGTCATCATTGTGTGTCCCTAGTAAGTTTCCAAGTTATGATTAAGGTGTACCAGCTCTATAAAAAACTATATATGAAGTAGATTTAAGATGAACATTAACATGTTAGGGCCAGCACAGGACACACTTGAGAAATGCGACCATAGGTCACTGGCAGCCAGGATTACAGTAAAAGAGGGATATGGTAAGATTTGGGAGATTAGAGGGGCCTACATGAGATGAAAAGGAAATAATTAGAACGTTATGGAGGACATCTGGACAAGAATTCAGAAATCATTGTAGCAGCAGTGTGGATAGGGTAATAGGTATATATTTGAGAAAAACTAAGGGATCCTAGGGAGAAGCTGACTAATGAGAAATGGACTGAGGATGAAAGCAGCTTCTGGGTCATTTCCAGTTTCCTGGCATTGAAAGCAGGGAGAGGGACTGGCTTCATAAGGAAAGAGACTAATGGGAAAGGAGGAGGGAAGCAGAGGAGGATGTGGTCTTAGGAGTGGGGTTTAGTGTGACTTATACAGACAGCTTATCAAGACTCCTTTCTGTTTTCTATATAAAAATGTCCTGCAAGACATCATATTTAGATGGCGTGGAATAAGTTTTTAAAAAGAGAGATTTAACCCAGGAAAATAGATTTTGGAGTCATTAGTATCTAGGTGGGAATCAAAGTGGTAAATCTAGATAAAATATTTTGGGCACAAAACAGAAAAGGAAAAGGACAGAGAATAAACTTCTTCTGCTTCAGGCCTGGGTAGAAAAAGAACAGCACTTCAGTCCTAGATAGAAGGAGAACAGCTTTGAAAGGGCCTGAAAGGATGATGCAGGAGGTAGGAGATAAAGCAGCAGGGACAACTTTGGGGAATACCTGAGAGGAGAATTGGAGATGAATGTCAAGGACCCAGTGAAATAGGACGTGGTGTTCTTTGCTTCCTGAGGATCATGAAGCAATGGGGGATAGCCTGTGGGATAAGGGAGTGGTGAGAAGTGCAGGCGGGTGTATAGGAGGTATAAATGGTAATGGAAGGAGACTTGACTTGGGATGTGAACACACCATACAATATACCGATGATGCATTATAGAATTGTACACCTGAAACCTATATAATTTTATTAACCAACTAGAGGCCCGGTGCACAGATTTGTGAACCAGTGGGGTCCCTCGGCTTGGCCTGCATGGATCAGGCAAAAACTGGCTCTCTGACATCCCCTGAGGGGTCCCAGATTGTGAGAGGGCACAGGCCAGGCCTAGGGGTCCCACCGGTGCATGATCAGGGCCAGGGAGGGACCACAGGAGGGCTCCAGAGCATGTCCAGCCTGGTTCGCCCAGTTCCTATTGGCTGGACCCCAGTAGCAAGCTAACATACCAGTCAGAGCATCTCCCCTGTGGTGGTCAGTGTGCATCATAGCGACTGGTTGACTGGTCAAACAGTAGAACAAACAGTCGTACACTGAGCATATTAGGCTTTTATTATATAGACTATCACCCCTAATTAATTCTACTTAAAAAGAACCAAACAATAACTATGAAATTAAATTTCTCAAGCTGAGGTCTATAGACCATTGGAAATACAAATCATTCAATCATTAAATTAATATTTACTGAGCACCTACTATGTTCCATATTCTGTTTCAGGGCCAGGAAATTCTGCATTTATCTTAGATATAGATAAAGAAAATAAACAAATAAACCAATTAATAACACACTAATGTAAAATAATAATAATTGGATGAAGGAAATAAAGATAATAATGTGACTGAGGATGATGTAGCTATTTTAAAATAACTATTTCATTCACAGAAGGGAAAACTCAATATTGTGAAGGTGTCAAATATGCTCGAAGTCAATCTATAAATTTAATGTAATCTTATTCAAAATCCCAATATAGTTTTGGGGGGAACCTAACAAACTGAAATAAATGTGCCACACAAAGAAGGTAAAATAGTTCTACCAGATACCAGAACATATGGTAAAGCCATAAAGCTGTATGGTAACCATAGAACATTAGATCAATGGAACCAAACTGGAAGTTCAGAAACAGATTCCTATGTGTAAGAAAAATTAGGCAATAAAAAAGGTGGAATTTGGAGAAATGATGGTTTATTCTATACATAATTTTAAACATATGTTTAAAAGAGCAAAACTTAAAGGCATCTATTATACTAATACCCATCATTCATAAAAAATAAATTCCAATTGGAATAAAGGCAAAATTGTAAAAGAAATAAAAATACAAGTAAATATGTTTACAATACAGGGTAGAAAAAGAGTTCTTAAATGGACCACAAACAAAAAGAAACACGAAAATTACATGAGTGAGCTACACAGCAGTCCATAGAAGGCAGCTAAGACCAAAAGCACCATGTAAGCAATATGCACAAAATTACGCAGATTTTAAATGCCAAAATTAAACCTGTGTCTTTCACTGTTCTTTCTACTGTATCATGACAGGTCTTCAAACTGGAAAAAGAATTAAAATGGAAAGTTGGCCTAGCCGATGTGGCTCAGTGGTTGAGTGATAACCTATGAACCAGGATGCCACGGTTTGGTTCCCAGTCAGGGCACATGCAGGGGATGTGGGTTCCATCCCCAGTGGAAGGTGTACAGGAGGCAGCCGATCCATGATTCCCTCTCATCACTGATGTTTCTATCTCTCTCTCTCCCTCTTTCTTTCTCTCTGAAATTAATAAAAACACCTGGACATTTCTAAATAAATTACTTCCATTCAAGATGGTGGTATAGATAAATGCATACTCAAATCCTCCCCTAACCACATCAAAATTACAACTAAACTACAGAACAACCATCATTCAGAATTCCATAAAATCTAGCTGAACAGAAATCCTTCAACTAAGGATATAAAGAAGAAGCCACATCAAGACTGGTAGGAGGGGCAGAGACGCAAAACCGGCTGGCCCCCATCCATACCCGTGTGTGGCACATAAAAATATTAAATAATATCTTGAATGAAGATATTCCCCCCTGAGGAGGACCCAGACCAGGCTCCCTAGCCCCGGTTTCCAGTGCCAGAAAGACAAGTCCCCATAACTTCTGGCTGTAAAAATCAGCAGAGACTGTGGCTGAGTGAGACAGAGGATGCCTGGAGTCTCATAACTGTTAAATCAAAATCTTTCCTTTGTTGTATATAACCGTCATGAGACTCAGATTCACTCTCTCAGCAGCTCCAGTGCTGGGGCAATAGGTTGAAAGATACCAAGGACACATGGGAATAAACTGAATTGTTTGGCATCAGGACAAAACCTGGAGGGGCAGCTTTCTTTCAGGCATAAGTGCTGGCAGAAACCATTGCTCCTTTCCTGAGCGCTGCCCCAACAGAGATGCAGGAGGGTGCCATATCTGATTCTCCATCAACCTGGCTAACATTGTTCACACTGTCCTGGTGATTCCCACCCCACCCCATTCGACTTGCAGGCCCACCCACGCTGTTTTCAGTGGCTTTTCCATACAAATTCTTGTCTTGGTTCATGCTTTGGAGCTTCCTAAAATCTCTCAAATAAACAGCATCTGGCCTCAGCATGCTGCATATCTTTCACTAAGTGGCCTTAGGCCCAGCACTAGTGGCAACTGGCCTTCATTTGCAGCTTGGCTTCTCAGGGGCACTTCCGAGCCCAGCATAAGTAGCAGCCATCCGAAGATTGCTTTGTAGCTCATGCCAGGTGGCCCTGGCAGGGCTCAGGTGGCAGTTGACCTTGGTCTGTGTCTCCTGGGAAGCTCCAGAGCCAGTGCACCCAGTGGACAGCTTCAGACCACATAGAAGCACCACCCAACCACCTTCACAAGCGATACACTCAAGGAATGGGTACCAGAACCCTGCTGAGTAAGCCCTGTTCCATGGGCTTAGCCCCTGCATAGCTGATCCTCCATGGTGGTAGCAGCCAGTTCTCACAGCCAATCATCCTGGGGGTAAATCCCTCCCACTGAGGTAGCAATAATAATTAAGGCTCCACAACAACAAGAGTGTGTACACAGAACACACAAAATGGAGAATGCCCAGCTCAAGTGAAAGGAAGGCTGTACCACTGGAACCTACAGGATACATACAACATAAGGCCACTCTACCAAAACTGGGAGGTGTAGCAGCTCTACCTAATGCATAGAAACAAACACAGGGAGACAAAGAAACATGCCTCAAATGAAAGAACAGGACAAAACTCCGGAAAAAAAAAACTATACAAAATGGGGATATCCAATCTCCATGCAGAGTTCCAGACATTGGTTATAAGGATGCTCAATGAATTTAGGGGAAGAGTAGATAAACTTAGTGAGACCTTCAACAAAGAGATAGGAAACATAGAAACATAGATAGAAAACATAAAAAACATAAAAAAGGACCAGTCAGAAATAAATACTACATTAACTGAAATGAAGAATACATTATAGGGAATCAACAGTACAGTAAATAAAGCAGAGGATCAGAGATTTGGAATATAAGGAAACATAAAATAATCAGACCAGCAAAAAGAAAAAGAATACAAAAAATCAGAATAGTATAAGGAGCCTCTGTGATAACTTCAAGTGTACCAACATTTCCATCATGGGAATACCAGAAGAGAAGAGTGAGAGCAAGGAATTGACAACCTATGTGAAAAAATAATGACAGAAACTTCCCTAACCTGGTGAAGGAAATAGACATACAAGTCCAGGAAGCACAGAGAGTCCCAAACAAGATGAAACTAAAGAGGACCACACCAAGACACATCATAATTAAAATTTTAAAGGTTAAAGACAAAAAGAGAAACTCAAAAACAACAAAAGAAAAGCACTTAGGATCTACAACCAAGATTACCTAGCAAAGCTATCATTGAGAATCAAAAAACATATAAAGAGCTTTCCAGATAAGAAAAAGCTAATGGAGTTCATCACCAGTAAACCAGTTTTATAAGAAATGTTAAAGGGTCTTCTTTAAGAAGAAGAAGAAATAAAAAAAGGTTAAAAATATTAGTAATAAGATACATACATATCTATCAACAATTACTTTATTTATTTTTTAAAAATATATATTATTGATTTTTTACAGAGAAGAAGGGAGAGGGATAGAGAGTTAAAAACATCAATCAGAAAGAAACATCGATCAGCTGCCTCCTACACACTCCCCACCGGGGTTGTGTCCTCAACAAGGTACATGTCCTTGACCGGAATCAAACCTGGGACCCTTGAGTCTGCAGGCCAATGCTCTATCCACTGACCCAAACAAGTTAGGGCTATCAACAATTACTTTAAATGCAAATGGATTAAATGCTCCAATCAAAAGACATATGGAGGCTGGATGGTTAACAAAGCAAGACCTTCACATATGCTGACTACCAGAGAGTCACTTCAGATCAAAAGAAACATATAGACTAAAAGTAAAGGGGTGGAAAAAGATATTTCATGCCTGGGTATTTATCAGAAGAAAACCAAAACACTAAATAAAAAAGACATACAGTAGATCTATATGTTCATCGCAGCTATATTTACAATAGCCAAGATATGGAAGCAACCTAAGTGTCCATCAATAGATGAATGGATAAAGAAGAAGTGGCACATATATACAATGGAATATGATTCAGTCATTAAAAAAGAATAAAATCATGCCATCTGCAAAACATAGATGAACCTGGAGGGTATTGTGCTCAGTGAGATAAGTCAAACAGGGGAAGACAAATGCCATATGATTTCACTTATATATGGAATCTAAAAAACAAAATAAACAAGCAGAACAGAAACAGACTAAGAGATACAAAGAACATTTTGACAGTTGCCAGATGGGAAGGAGTCAGGGGGATGGGTGAAAAATGTGAAGGGATTAAAAAGTAAAAATTGGGCACTGGCTGCTGTAGCTCAGTTGGTTGGGCACTGTCCTGTGCATCAAAGGGTTACCAGTTCAATTCCAGTCAGGACAATGCCCAGGTTGCAGGCTTGATCTTTTGTAGGGAGCATGCAGGAGGCAGCAGATAGATGTTCTGCTCTCACATCTCTTTCTCTCTCTCTCTCTCTCTCTCTCTCTCTCTCTTTCTCTCTCTCTCTCTTTCTCTAAAAATCAATAACAAAATATTTTTAAAAAGT